TATGCATTATTAATATTAACCGTATTACATAGCCATACTAAAATCTACAGATCTAAAGAAGCTAAACAGTAGGGAGGATGCTTAAATCTCATTTCAAATGGCAAACAGGATAGACACCAGAAACAGTGGAAGAGAGGAAACATGATGGGAGCATACTGAAAGGCTCTACCAAACAGGGATCAAAGCAGATGCTGAGACTCACAGGCAAACTTTGGGCAGAGCCCAGGGAGTCTTATGGAAGAAGAGGGAGGAGAAGAGAAGGGCACAGAGGGGACTGGAGGCCAACAAAGCTAAAAAAACAATCTGAGCCCAGGGGTCCTGCAGAGACTGATGCACCAACCGAGGACCATGCCACATGCTCTCTCTCATTTACGGTACCTAGCTCTGAATTTTCAGATGTGAATACATAACCTGAATTAACCTCAGAAACCAGGAAATATATGTATTTGATGAAGTTATTTCACTTGGGGTGATAATGATCTCCACAAAAGTCAAAGATAACAAAAACCCCTTCTATGATGGCTGGTTTTGTGTCAAATTGACACAAACTAGAGTCATTTAGGGGAGAGAAGCCTCAATTTTTAAAAAATCCCTACCAAATTGCCCTATGGGCAATTTTGTGGGCCAGTCTCTTGATTGGTATTTGATGTGGAAGGGCACAGCTCACTGAGTGATACCCCTGGACGGGTGGTCTGGATGGCATAAGAAAGCAGACTGAGCAAGCCATGAGAAGCAAGCCAGCAAGCAACGATCTTCCAAGATCTCTGCTTGCGTCCTTGCCTCCAGGCTCCTGCCTTGAGTTCCTGCCCTGACTTCCTTGGATGACGAACTGCAAGCTGTAACATGAAATAAACTTTTTCTTCCCTAAGTTGCTTTTGGTCATTATGTTTCATCACCACAATAGAAACCTTAATAAAACAGAACTTGGTTCCAGGTCATGGGGTATCACTGTGACAGACCTGGACGTGTTTAGGAGAGGCTTGAAGAAGGGCTTTGGAGCCTGGGACTAGAGAGCTAGTGGCTGTTCAGAGCTCAGTGGACCATTATGGAAACTTAGAAGATAATGCTGGCAGTGGTGTGGAGCATAGTGGTCTGGCTTGTAAAGTTTCAGAGAAAAGGGCGAGAGTCCCTTAACATTCTTTTGGGACCATTCAATATTTTGAATTAAAAAGAACCACGGGAGTGAAACCTTTTCTTTACTGGGACAGTTGATGCTAGTCAGCTAGGGCTGAGAAATATGCTGTGATTGAGGAAAAAAAAAAACAGCATCACTGAGGTGAAATCTTGGCAGTGTTTTCTCAGGGTCAACACACAAACAGTGGTCCAGAGGAGGCCACCACTGTAACTTATGCTAGTAGCAAAACTTGGCAATGTGTAAGAATTCCCAGGTGGTACTTGCTTTGAAGGCATGAAGTGGTCATGGAGGGCAGCTGAAGCTTGTCCCTGTGACATAGAAGCTCCAGAATAAAAAGGTCAGGGAGAGGAGTTGAGACTCGGCACCACGTAGCGGGGTCATAGTTCCTAAAGAGAACTGAATAAAGGTTATTGGTGAAGGTACAGCCTCATTGAAATAGAGACAGCAACGCGTTGGATATGCCAGCACTATGGGAAAACCAGCAAGGACAGCAGCAGTTATGGAGTGGAGCCAGCCTGAGCCTAGGAGACAAGCTGTGTGTGCTACAGAGGACACAGCCCGAGAAGCAGCGTGGGCCCCTTGGAGCCCAGGGGATTGTGAGTGGATTTAAGACATTAAGCAGTGAATTCTTTACAGTGATTTGGGATTTGCTCTGCTTTGACCGTGACTGCTCCTTCTTTTTAGAGTAGAAAAGTATTTAACTTTTTGTTGTTGTTTTATAGGAGCCCATAGTTAAAAGACTTTGGAATTTTAGAGAGACTTTTGAGTTTTGCGAGGCTTTGAAGATTGAAAAGGACTTTGAATTATTTAAGAAACTAAACTCATGTCTAACCAAATGCAGGGCTTTTAAAGTTATTTATGTTTTATATTGTTATATTGATATTAATATGAAATCTTGGGGATGAACAAGAAATAAATGATTATGATTTAACAGTTATCTGTTTGTGTGTCAAATTGACAAGGAGTCGATTGTACTGGCTAGTTTTATGTCAACTTAACACAAGCTAGAGTTATTTGAGAAGAAAGAGCTATAATTGAGAAAATTCCCCTACCAGATTGGTCTGAGGGCTTGTGGGCCACTTTCTTGACTGATAATTGATGTGGAAGGGCAGAGTTCAGTGTAGGCAGTGTTTTGGATGGAGGTCCTGGATGGTATAAAGAAGACTGAGAAAGACAGGAGAAAAAAAGCCAGTAAGCAACACTCCTCATGGCCTCTGATTTCTCTGACTCCTCTCAGTGAAGGATTCTTACATGGAAGTATAAAGCAAAATGAATCCTTTCCTTCCCATGTTGCTTTTGTTCATGGTGTTTTATCACAACAGTAGAAACCCTAATTAAAATTCCTCCAGTAAGCCTACCACAAAGGGCCTCTAAAAGAGTCTAGCCAGCAGGGAATCAAAGCAGATGCTGACACTCATAGCCAAACTTTGGGCAGAGTGCAGGAAATCTTATGAAAGAAGGGAGAGATAGAAAGACCTGGAGGGTACAGGAACTCCACAAGACCAACAGAGTCAGAAACTCTGGGCCCAGGGGTCCCTGCAGAGACTGATGTGCCAACCGAGGACCATACATGGAAAGGACCTAAAACCCCTGCTCAGATGTAGACCATAAGCAGCTCAGTCTCCATGTGGGTACCCTAGTAAGGGGAACAGAGACTGTCTCTGACATGGACTTAGTGGTCAGCCCTTTGATCACCTCCCCCTGAAAGGGGTGCAGCCTTGCCAGGCCACAGAGGAAGAGGATGCAGCCATCCCTGATGAGACCTGATAGGCTAGGGTCAGATAGTAAGGGAGGAGGACCTCCCATATCAGTGGACTGGGAGAGGGGCATAGGAGGAGAAGAGGGAGAGAAGATGGGACTGAGAGGAGATAAGGGAGAGGGCTACAGCCAGGATACAAAGTTAATAAATTGTGATAAATAATAAATCAAGAAAAAAGATTCCTCCTTTAGAGTTATTGAATCATGGGAATCCAATAAATTTCCAAAACAACATAGACTATTGCTGTTGCTCTTGGCTGTCTCCCAGAATTTGAAGGTTAATTCCTATTGCTGAAAACATCACACACTTCAGAGAAGATTTGGAGGAATAAATCTGAATCTGACCCAGAAGCCTCCTCTCCAAAGGACTTTCTTTCGTAGTACAAGAAGGCACTATGATAGCTGAAAATGGAGGAAAGCAACCAATAGTCCTAACCATATGGGAGGCTTATCAACCACAACAATGACCAGATATCTGCAAGATATCTGCAAAGGAACAATATTACTTATTATCTTGTCAGTAAGCAACACCCATTCATTGGCCCACTCAATAGGAAGGGATCCGTCCTGCACCCTAGCCATCTATCTGTGGGTAAGATTAGAGATCCTAGAGGAGAGCCTACAACTGCCATTTTCCTAGACAAAACTATTTCTAAATATATTCTAAATTCTTATCTTTCTACCCACAGATAAGTGTGGCTCTCACTCCTCATTAAAGAAGCTCGTTTTTGCAGCAGACGGAGAACATTACAGAAGCCACGACTAGTCAAATGCATACAGAGATAATTGACAGTGGGGTTCCTAGCACCAACTGATACATCTGTAACACAGCCCTACACATCAGGCTCAGGGAACATCACAGAAAAGGGTTCAGAAATGCTGTTAAGGACCAGAGGACTAGAACATCTGCTGTGAGATTGTGTCTTCTATATATAACAGGGAAGCTTCCCCATGACTGTCTAAGCAAGACCTAAAGAATTCTGACACCTATTGTCATGTCGACATGAATGAGAGAATAGGGTCCCACCCCTAGATGAAGACCTACAGGCAATTAATAGCTGCTGAGAGGGAGAATCAATCATCAAAAGATGAGCCCTTAACTGATTATCCAATACCAAGTGGTCAGCCCTAAAAATATATACTAAGCAACAATATATATATATATTATATATATATATTATATATATATATAAAACACTAAATGAACTCAGCAGGTTGCATTTATATATTTATTCATATATGTATATGTAACAATAATAATTAAAGAAAAAGAGGTCATGAATTTGGGAAAGAGGGAGAGAATAACATGGGAGAAGTTGAAAGGGGGAGAAGAGAGGAATGATGTAAATACAGAACACATATGAAATTTAAATTTTTTATTTAAAAATATTAACAAATTAAAAAAAGAAATCCAGTTCAATGGCTATGCTCTGGTGAAAGGTCCCTGACGTTCTCATTTTCCAAGGCCCTGGGAAAATCCACTGATGTAATGATGAGGAAGTTATACAGTTCACCTGTACAAGTTGTACAGCTTCATTGAATATATTGTTCTCTCTACTCATTCCTGTATCATTTAACTGAATCTGGAAGTTTGGAGTAAAAATAAAGAAATCTCTACGATGTGGGACAGATAGGACTCCTCCAGTGCTTAAGGTAGGACTAAAAGTTACCCACCTGCCACGGGATGAAAGATCAGTCCCATCCCTCTCTTCCTCTCCCTCGCTCCCTCCTCTCCTCCCCCCTCCTCCCTCATATGCACACCCCTCATACCTACCCCACCTCTAAGACATTTAACTAGAAACTGAGCTGTCTCGCAGCGTCAGCCTAGCATCCCTCTGCTTTCAAATCTCCCATTTGGGACAGACTAGGAAAGCTGTCAGGTCTAAGTTATAAACTTTTAAAAATCCTTAAATCCTAGAGCCATTGACTCAAAGTTCAGAGGACAAAAAAGACTCAGAACAATTTGGGGAATGATGAGGAGAGGACCAGTCACTGGGAAAGAACTGGAAGGTGGAGAGCAGGAAGGGCCAAAACTAGACAGGTTTCTTCTTTCCAGTTTTCCATCCCTTCCTCCATCCCCAAGAAAGGCAAGAGACTCAGAGAGACCTGAGGTATGACAACTTTATTATTCTGTAGACATGTCCAGGGGCTCAGCATCAGGCCAGGAGCTCTGCTATTCCTTGTGGCTGTCTCTATGAGCTTCCACGCCCATCTTTATCATCAGGGCAAGGTACTCTTCGAAGTTAACTGCTTTGTCCTCATTGATATCCAATGTTTCGAACAAGGTTTTGGCATTCTTATTCTGTCAAAAAGAGTGGGGGGGTCAGACTGTAAATATATCAGAGAAAAGTCAGCAATGTCTATCTGTAGAAAGCAGCTTGGGGGACCAGCAATCCCAGCACTGCTAGAGAACCCGAGAACACAACACCTCCTCACCTTCACGTACTGAGGACACTCAGTATTGAGCAGTTTCTTCAGGTCCTCCTTGTAGAGGGCATGATGATTCCCTTGCAGTTTGGAATAGTTATGATAGACTTCAATTATGTTGACCACGGCCTTCTCTAGCTCAGACAGCATTGTAGCTTGAGATTTGCTCACCTGAAAGGAACAGCCACAAAGGGATGGGTGCTACAGTTACTCATGGCAGAGAGATGACTGAAGGGACATTCAGAAGGCTTATGACCAAAGAAGTAGCTTTGGTTGGCCTCAGATAGCTAAACCCAGAAGATGACTCTGTGTCTGATGGTAAGGGTAGGATGGAACATTAGAGGTACTTCAGTATTCAGACACGCACACACAAGCGCACACACATACACACATATATACACACATACACACAAGAGTGTAGCAAACTCTCCACACTAAAACTTCCTGCCCTCTTCTACTAGATACTGCTAGAAGCCTCCACTCCTTCCTTATCCTCATTCTACTTCCTTCATCCTCAAGCATTTTATCTGTGCTGCAAACTTGCCCAAGCTTTCTTGCCCTCTCAGAAAAGGCTGCTCCATCCACCAACCCTCCCTAAGGGAAGCCTCCAGGGTGAGATAGACTCACACAGCTCTACTTAGTGATACTTACAGCTATCACTAAGACGGAGCTGACAAAGGTGATGTGCAGTTAAGCGTCAGCTGCTTTTATAGAGGAAAGCTTGGCTGGCTGCCCACAGCCTCTGGCTATGAGGACAGCCCTCTTCCCTTCCAGAGTTGACACAGCCTCTGTTTCCCAACCAGGCCCATGTGGCAATCACTGAACACAGTAGGTATTTCTGAGTCTGAGGAAGTAGGAGTGTTGGAACAGGGAAGACATGTACCGGACAGGAGTGCCCAGCAGGAAAAATGTAAATGGGGCATAGCAGAAAGGTCTTTTCTGGGACACTGGCACCTCGTCCTTGCATCCAGACAGACTCCCAATTCTGAGCCCTCTCCTCTGTGGCCATTGATGATCTATTGCCTTTGTGCCCCATCTGCCTCTGAACTGAATTGAAGGTGGGGGTTGTGTGCGTGTTGGAGCATAGAAGAGACAGTTTCCACCAGGTTCTCAAAGTACCAATGACCTCAGAACTGTTAACACCAGTCCTAGCTACTGGATTTTAGTACAGTTTGGAGTACTGTTGTGGGGTTGTTGTGGATGTGTCAGAGGAGTCTTTGGGAAAAGTTATTTTCCCAAGGATCAGTTCCTAACCTGCCAAGACCCTTCGTGATTATTCTGCTCTGGAAACTAGGGATGTCCTGGCCATGGTGTCTTCTCTCTGTACACCCTACCACAGCCACTGGGTCCCTGCATGATCACAGTAAAGACATTCCACCCTCTCAGTGGTCACTGTGCCTGGAAGAGAGGAGTCAACTCTAGAGTGGTGAGAGAGAAATTATTTTAGAGAATCCAAGTATGTCTCATGCCCAAGGGAAGAAGATGGGCCCATTCCCAGGAATTTTTAGGAGCAATCTCCAAGCCCCAGTAAAATGTCACTCAAATTAATTGGCTGCCAGCACTGGAGACTTGTGAAGGGTTTCTCATATGACAGTGGGTTTCATCCATATTATCCCATAGGGCTTCATAACATGCCTACAGGAAGACTGGGCAGGGAACCAGCCTGGGAACAGAGGAGGAAGCAGCATCCCGGAAGGGAGCAAGCCAACCAGTCTCCCAGTGCTAGTGAGTCAGGGTTGCAGAGTCCCTAGCTTGTTCTGACAAGAACAGGGAATGGTGGGGAAAACTGGAGTCCTCTTTCCTTCCTCTAAGTCCTCAGAAACCAATCCTGTGCCTCAGCAGCGCCCAGGCCATCAGAGATGTGGCTGCTGATCTTGCCTATCAGTTCAATGGATTCAAACTCACCATAAAAACAAATCTCTGGGCATGCCTGTGAGGTATTGTCTATATCAGCTCCATTAAAGTAGGGAGAGCCTTACCTTACATGAACAGTACTTTCCATAGACTGAGGTCCGGTTGGAAACACACAGGAAGTGCCCTTGCTCTCTGCTTCCTGACTAGGGACACACTGTGACAGCTGCCTCCTGCTCCTTCTGCTAGGAATTCTCAGCTCTGATGGACTGTATGCTCTGAAATTGGAAGCCAAATAAACCCTTCTTTAAGTTGCTTGTGTCTGGTTTGTTGTTGTTGTGGTGGTGGTGGTGGTGTTCCAGTAATAAGTCAAGTAACAGTTTTTTGGAGACGTGGATGGATTAAACTCTCTCCTTCCAGTTTCCACTGCCCACTGAACTCTAATAGCCCACTTCCTTACTTTATAGTTGTGTGACACAACTTGAGCCAATTAATCACCCTCTCTTGCCTTGGTTTATTAAAAAGAGTTATATAAAGAGATTTAAAACATAACATCTTCAACCCATGAAGAGGGAGAAATTATTTACAAGTATCTGTATCTCATAAGGGATTCATATTTAAAATATTAGAACCCCAACCATTCAACAGCAACAATAAAAGCAGCCCAAAAAAGAAGTGACAGGGGGATTTAAGTAGACATCTCTCCATATCTTTACACAAACACCAATAAGCACACGAATACGCTTAGCATCATAAACCACTAGAGAAGTGCAAGTCAAACTATGGGATGCCGTCTCATGTCTGTTAGGATGACTACTGCACACGAACAAACAAGAAAACCACAGCTGTGAAGAAGAGAAACTGGAAGCGAGCCCCCTCTTGCTTGGTCTTTTAGCTGAAATGGGATAGAGAAGGCTTGTGACCAGTGACAGCAGTGTAAAATGCGATACTGCCGTGAAAATGTTGTGGTGTGTAGTTGTTCCTTGGTCACCAAAGAATCACCATATGATCCAGCAGTTCCCCTTGTGAATGTATAGATGAAAGACTGGAGAGCAGGGTCTCATAAAGATGCTCCTTCACTCAGACTCATGACAGAATCATCCTGGAGAACCAAAGAGGAGAACCAGCAAGCAGTGTGCATCAATGGATGAGTGCATCAATGGCACCTCACACACAGTGGAAGACCAGGCAGCCTCCAACCTTCCCTCCTTTGCAAAAGAGGGAAGTTCTGACATATACTAAAACCTGAATGCTCTGAAAGGAGAAATCATGTATGGGCCCATTTGTATGAAGTGTTTCTAGTAGCCAGATTTTTAGTGCCAAAGTAAAATGGGCATTAGAGGGGCTTGGAAGAGGAGGAGAGAACAGTGGTTTAATGGGATTACTGTCAGCGCTGCAAGAGGAGAAAGAATTCTGGAGATGAGCCAGCCAACTGTCTGAATGTAGGTAACATTCCTGGAGTGTACATCTGGAGAAGAAAAGATGGAAAGATTGCTGACGTGTATAATTGAGCACAATCAGGTTTTACAATTTTCGAATGCCTGCACTTATAAAGTTTGCTTCATACTCAGCCCTAAGTGGGATGTCTTCAACAAAGCCCTCACCTCAGGCTCAAGGATCTATGCTAAAGAGGACGCATTTCACAGCACTGCTCCATGTTTTGCTAGTGCTTCTATTGTTGTGATAAAACACCATGAGCAAAGGCAACTTGGAAAGGAAAGGGTTTGTTTCCTCTTATAAATTGTGTTCTGTCATTCAGGGAAGTCAGGGCAAGAACTCAAGGCAAGAACCTAGAGACTGAAGCAGATGCCATGGAACTGAAGCAGATGCCATGGAGGAGTGCTGCTTACTGGCTTGTTCAGCCCACTTTCTTATGCCACTCAGAACCACCTACTCAGGGGTGGTACCTAGTGAGCTGGGCCCTCTCACATTAATCACCAATCAAGAAAATGACCCCCAAGTTTTCCCATAGGCCACTCAGTATTCTCCCAACTGAGGCTTCCTCTTCCAGAATTACTCTAACTTATGACAAGTTGCCTTGTAAAACTAGCTTACATGTACTCTCACTTTCTTTCTGCCTTCTCTTCTTCAGTGTTGTCTGAGCCTGGGGGTAGGGGATGATAATAAGTAGCATTCAGTCTCTTACTCTCAGCATTTTGACCAGTTGTGCATGTCTGCATTGGCTGCTGCTCACTGCAAAACTAAGTTTCTCCAGGCACGACTGTTATGGGGTAACCAACCATTTCTGACTGGATTTTGAAGCCGGTTCCACAGAAGAAATCTCATGCCTAGTACTGTGACCATGGTCAAAAGCCCTTGGCTGGGGAGCTCGTAGGCCTTAGGGTACAAACTGCTATTGTTATTGTACATTATTAGCATGTGAATCATGCTTCCATAAAAAGATTACACACACACACACACACACAAAAAAAAAAAAAAAAAAAAAAAAAAAACTTAGCGTGGTGGGAAATGTACCTAGTTCTGATATTGAGGAAGACTGAAACAGGAGGATTGCCATGAATTCAAGGCAAGCCTGGGGTGTATAATGAGATGCTGTCTCAAAAACCCTAACAGAGAGAGAGCCTTTACACATACACAATAAAATGTACAAAGTGCTCCTAGAAACGTGAGAGAGCTGAGGAAAGAGCGTGTCGAGATCTGTGGAGGATCCTGTAACTGGACGCTGAGCCCTCTACAGTCAGATATCCGTGTCAGTGAACCAAGGTCCTGCATCTGGTCCAGCGTCACCTTAGGCTCCTCAGGTGCTTCAGGAAGCAATACAGAAAGGGGGGCCATGTGCCTGCAGTCTGGTGATCTGGACACACGTTCCTCTCTGGGGCTCCTGGTCACGTCTTACTAGGATCATAGCTACAGGAGCCTGGGTTACGCAGCTCATTCTTCCAAGGAAAGGCCTTCTGCTTTGCCACTTGAGGCACTGTTGGTTGACCACACATAGCCCAGGTCTGCCGGGCACGCTGGCAGCAGCGAAGAGTGGGGGCGAATAGCTGACAATCGCTGGGTGTGCACGATTGTGAGGGTTCCCCAGTGCTTTACGGACATCAACCCACTCATTCCCAAGCCTATCGAGTACGGGCTATTATAAACCTCACTATATGGAGGAAAGTGAGACCTTCCGTGAGATGCTGTTGGGTTTTGTTTTGTTCTGTTCTATCTGCGTGTGCACCTGCATGCCAGCAGAGGCCATCAGATCCCAGAATACATACATGGTTGTGGGCCCCCATGTGGTTGCTGAGAATTGAATTCAGAACCTCTGGATGCTGAGCCGTCTCTCCAGCCTCTCCAGGAGACACTGTGATGGAGGTGGCTTAGGATGTGATGTGACAGCATCTATTTCCTCCATAACTGGAGTACCTCTGTCCTGACAACTTCAGTATTTTAACCACCAGCTAGGGTACCATCTGTTGTCTCCATCCACCTCCTCAACAGTACAGTCAATCCTCCTCTCTCTATATTACCCAAGCCCTTATCCACTGTCCAATCCAACAACTACCACATTCAGCCACCTTAAGTCTTTTCTGTAAGAGAGAATGGTATACATCCACTATGACAAGACGGAAGTTGACCTCCAGCTAGGAAAACAGAACATTTTCCTCAGTTCCATATCACAACCAATAACCAGCCAATAACCAGCCCATAGTTCATACCTATTCTCTACCAGGCACTGTTTTATATGATTTGGCATATACCACCTTACCCCAAAACAACACATCTCTTTCAACCTGTATTTACATCTGTTGGTTTATTTGATACTCTCAAAAAGCTAGTAGAGTGAGCTTTACAGGTAAAATTATCTCTGTATGAAAGACAGAAAAATGTATGCACACGTGCCCCTCAACATCTTTCCTCGGGCTCCTTGAACTTAAAGGTGTCTGTGAACGAAGGCTTCCTGCCAGCATCCTCAGTAGGACGAGTGGTAGGTGGGCCATGAACTCTCACTACCAGGGAATAGCCCTCTAAGGGGGTTGTCTGACAGCGGGAGCCAGCCGGAGTGTGTGTGCTGAGCACATAACTGGCTTGGCAGAAATGAAGACACTCTAAAGAAGAGATTTGCAGCTCTCCAATCTATCAGAATATTGACACAATGACCCTAGAGAAATGGGAAATTCCCCCGAAGGCTCTCAGGTGGGAGATGGGAAAGGCATCAGCCAGAGGGGGCCTGTCCCTAGAAAAGAGTTCACACAGTTCTAACCGCTTGTCAGACTGCCTTACAAGATGGACTGAAGCCAGATCAGTGATGGGCGGGACCACACCTTGACTAAGACTGCTGAGATGTGCGTATCCTTGGCCCTCTGCTTAAATTCCAATCTTCAGGAACTTGGAGAGCTCGCTGGGTCCCTGTTCATCTTCCCAACATGGCCACACGAATGAATCTTCTTTTTCTGCTTTCTGCTTGTCACTTTGCTCTTTTAATGGGCTTGTTGAAGATATGTGGCCAGGCCTGACCAGGTGCACAGGTTGTGACCTCCGAGTTCAGTAACAAGAAGTAAGCATGTCGGGGGGAAAGGAAGAATTTGTAATTACCTGACAACATGGAGCAATCTAGAGCAAGAGTGGCATAGTGTGTTTACAGGAAAAGGCTAAGTCCCCAGGTTTGTGTCTCAATAGCCTGGGTCTGAGGAAATGGAGGCGGAGGAAACAGGACTGGTGGAGAAATTGTCAGGAAGGGTTGGGGTAGTTGCAGAGGGCTCAGGCTGCCAAAGCTTCTGTGACCTTAAAAGGACAGTTTGATCCATCATCTCTCAGTGTAAGAGACCTGCCTGGATCCTGAGGTAAAGCAGCTGAGTAAGCCAGGACGTTGGCTTTTTGGTGTGAACAAGAAGTAATCAAGAGGTGTCTAGGAGAAGCATAGGCCTAAGTCACCTGATCTCGGTTCCATGGGTCCCCTCCTGATTTCCTTTCTCAAAACCCTGCTGCACCAATCATGTGGGGGCGCTAGGCCAGTTGCAGAGAGAGAGAGGTATGACCTCTCTGAGACTAGGCTGTGATGGGAAAATGATGCATACATCTGCTCAGGGGAAAGCAGTGTGATGATGAGTCCCTGCTGGACCCAGAGTCTTCAGAAAAGACAGACCACCAAGATGGGCACTCACAGTGCCTGGGGGCAAAGAAACCCTTCCTTCGGGATTCTTCCCTGATCTCCGGACTTCCAGGAGGGAGAATGACACAGTAAGGCAGCAACAGGAGGGCAAGGACCACAGGACTTGGCCCGTTGAGTCATAAATAGCTCAGAGTCAGGAGAAACACCACTCACCAACAAGTTAGATTAGTAACAATCCCGCCCAGCCCCTCGTCCCTCCCAGCTTCTGGCATCACTCTTGCCGTAGCAGGTGTCTGTTGCTTTGTCGGGCTGGGTTGCGGGCTCTGCAGGTACTTGCCTTGCCTTTCTGACTCAGCACACACCAAAACCAGTGGACAGTGCTTCCTAGAACAATGGCTCCCACGGTGACACGGATCATGCCCAGGTCAACAACCAGCATCACACTTCCCATCCTCAGGGTCCCATCAGGGTCACCAGCATGGTCTCACTCTGGACCCCTCCTAATCTATCTTGAGGACTGAGACTTTGACATTTACATTTCTCTCCTGTCTCCTCCCTTCCTTCTGTCCCTATGTGCAGCTACTGACCTGTCCACACAGCACCTGTCCGGAATGGGCAAGAACCCCTTATTGAGTCTCTCAGTTCTCCCCACCTGATCCATTCTTCAGGGTACCCAAATTCCATTACACCATTTTCAAGGGTAAAATCCTAATCTCAGTGTCCACACGTTCCTCTTGGACATTTATTTCCAGATAGCTCTTTGCTGTTCCCAGAATTACCACCTGGGTCTTCTCCATCTTTCCCCTCTTCCCCCCTCCTCCCCCTCCTCCCCTTCCTCTACCCTGACTATCTTTTCTTCTTCCTCCTCCTCCTTCTCTTCCAATTCCACTTCCTCCCCTCCTCCTCCTCACCCTCATCTACCCCCTCATCCTCTTCTTCTTCTCCTCCTCCTCCTCCCCTTTCTGAACGTGGGCATCTCCTGTCCTCCCAATCCCCTGTGCATACAAACTCACAAAAGGACTCCTTCTGTGTGTCTTTACCCATGTGGCTCCCCTCCTCCTATCCTTCATGGGCAGAGAGATCCTTCTCTGGGTCTGCCCTGACCCAGAAGAGACCCTTCCTTACACACTGAGACCAGACAGCAGGCCGTCTCACACCTCAGACAAGATTTCTGTTAGCAAGGTTGTGTCACTGCATTACCTTGGACCCAAGGCCAGCATTATTCCCTCACTGAAGGGAGGAGCTGGTCTCCTGCCCAAAATGATATTCTCCACAGTTCTTTAACTGAGTGATACACAGAACTATGCCTTTCGTACTTCCCAGGAATACTTGTGATATCGTTTGTACATGTGTGTGCACACCTAAAATGAAACACACTGCTGAGTTCTGTAAGAGGCTGACGGTCAGGTCGGGCCTCCCAGGACAGGCTCCTGTGGCGAGAGGCCGCCTGTCCCTCATCTAATAGAGGTTGTGCTGGGTGCAGTAGTGTATGCACAGCTGCTGGTGGAACTGCAGATGATAGTCCTTCACCAGCTTGCCCAAGATGTACAGGAACTCATCAAAGCAGATCTGGTTGTCCTTGTTTTTGTCAGCTGCCCGGAAGAGCTCTGTGATGTAGTATGGCTGCCTGCGGCCCTAGGGAATACAGAGAGAGAGGATCAGTACCCAGTGAGCACCCAGACTCCTCCTGTTGGCGATGGAGGGGCTCCCAGCAGCATGGGCATCCCACAAGGAGCACACACAGAGTATCAGTGACAAGGTCACCACATCATACAAAATCAGACTGAAGAGGCACACGTGTTGGTGGACAGCTTGCGGCACTGGACCTGGAGTTTGCACGGGTACAAACAGAGCCCCAGGGAGTTCTCCGCAGAAGGGGGACAAGTTCCCTCTTGTTTTTAAAATATTTTTAAACAATTAGCAAGGAACTTCCACCCTGACTGACTTGAGAACCCTTGAAGAAACATTCCAGAAAAAAAAAAATAAGGTTGTTTTTTATATTCTTTCTCAAAGCCTGGAAGTAGTTGAAGAAGATATTTTATGGGAATGAGTTGAGTCTCACTTCCTCTCAAGATGGCAGGCCAGAGAGCATGGGATCCTCCAGAGTTCAGAAGACAGATCTATTCTTTCTTTTAGTGCCTCAGTCTCTAAGAGGCACAGTGACTGGAGATTAGGACTAATGACAGACTAGATGAGTAGGCCGGGATCTGGGGCTGGCCGCATCCAGCTCTAAGAAGCCCTAGGCATGGGAAGTAGAAGAGATTCTATTTCCCATGGCCAGCAGACTAGGGCAGCCTCCACAGCCTGAATTACCCACTCTAGGCTCGTGGCAGAGGTGCTGGCTAAGGAGGCTTAGGCTGAAAGGGCTCACAGGGAGAGTGTGAGTTTGGGGCAGTGTCACTGACTGAAGAGGGTTGGGAACAGAGAAGAGTTTTGAGGCCATGTTCAAAGGACACAGGAAGCAGAATAATCAGCAGGTGTGGTTTCAGGCTGTAGTCTCAGAGATTAGCTCTTCATGGAATGAAACTCCAGGGGACTGGAGTGAAACCAAGCAGGTGAGCTCAGAGGAGGAAGGACAGGAAATAAGGCAAACCTTGCCCTCTGCACACCCTCCCTCTTCCATCCTCCTTCCAGCAGATTCTCAAAGGAGTCAGCTCCTTCCACCTACCCACCTCACCACTCACTCCCAAGCCCACAGACAGCACTGCCTGGGCCCTTTGGTCCTCCTTCACCTCCCGCTGCAGCCCCAGCCCCTGCCTACCAAGGTGTCCATAAAGCGAGGCACACTATCGAGGAGCAGGGCTTTCAACTCCTCCAGGGACAGGGTCTCCTTGTCTCCTTCCCGGGCGGCATAGTGGTGGAAGCAGTGGATGATCTGAAAGAGGGAGTCCTCCACTGGTGTGTCCGGCATGACTGCTGGCCCAGCAGGGTACTGGCTGATGTGCAGAGCGGAGGAGGAGGTGCTGGAACGGTGGCAGGTCTGTGAGGAGGGAACAGAACCCGATGTGCAGAGCACGATGGACACCTCCTCCTGCAAACATCTGCCCCCTGCTCACTTTCCTGCTCCCCGTCAGAAAGGGGCTCCTCGTGCTCCCACTGGTCCCATGTGAACTTGGCTCAGCATCCCTGCCCTCAACAAGCTTTTTGGCCTGACCTCAGAGTGACTTCACTGGCACTGAGGGCTTCCTGGGTTCAGGAGTGCTCTCCCGACTGCTAATAGTCAAGAACCAGAACAAACTAAAGATGGTGTGAAGCAAGGCACTGGTTTTGTTCCTTGAAAAGGCAAGATCCCTTCCCCTAGTGTAAACTACTTTATAGGACCAGCAGAACATTAAAATATGTATGCGACAGCAAAGACACAGACCTGGCACTGTGCTGCTCCTGAGTTCTCTGTCACTGGCGTACACAGACAACACCTTAGTCCCCATCGCCACCTGACATATGATCTTCTCTAGGAGCTGACACCTCCTCTCCAGCATGGTCCCTTTAGCTCTATAATCCTGGGGCCTTCTCAAAGCTTTACTCACCGTCCATCTGATGCCCGTGGGCCCTCACTCTATATTCCTATAGAGCTAGAGGTGACAGGAAGCAGCTGTGCAAACAATAACTCCAACAACCACACATCCCACTTCTTCCCAGCTAGCTGAATAATGGGTGAAGCATCTCATACATTATCCCATTTAATTCACACAGGGCCCTAAGGAGTTGAGTATCATTTTCCCAGAGGGGAAAATGAAATCCAAAGAGGTTAGAGAATTTACCAAGATTGCACACCTGCTACACCTTGATTTAGTCTCAAATCCTTGTGTTTGTGGACAAGCCCAAAGATAAGCTTGTCCTCTGGGATTCTATACCACTATGGGGTCACAGTTCCATTGCTGGAACATTGCACATGTTCTCCGTATAACAGTCAAGCTGAGCGTCTCTGCTCTCTCAGAGTTGCACACACCCAGAGCAGCCCACACCACCCCCAGGATTGTCTTGGAGGAGGCACTGACCTGTTGCTCTGTGCAGGGCTGCTCAGCATCCACAGCCTAGCCTCGAGGGACCCTGGAATCAGACAAAAGGCAGTCTTCTGAGCAGGGCAGCTCCCACCATGCTGGACACCCTGCCCATTCCCAGCCCACTCCTTTATGACAGCCGGTGTGTGACTCTCTACAAGTCCTTCTACAGCAGGACCAAACCTTAACTGCATTCCTGGGATGACATCATCACACTCCTGATTTTAGGATCTGAAAAACCTAAGAATCACAAAGGTCTCATTATCCATCCACTGCCTCCAATCAGCGCTCACCACGCCTCCCTTCCCCCAGCTTAGGGCCATACTTAAAAACAGCATCCTCGGCTGCCCTTCCTCAATTTCTGAACCTCCAAAGTCCACAATAATGAATCATGTTTATCCACTCACTCAACAAATATTTCATGAGTACTTGCAGCATGCCAAGCCCTCTGCTAAGCAACATGAATAAGACACTGGGCCAGCTAGCTCACTCATGAGGTTGAATAAGAGAACTGAGAGATAGACATGGTCACCATGTACTCTGGGCACCCAACAAGGGCCACCTTCTCCCAGAAAAAAAAAAAAAAGAAAGAAAGAAACAGACTTCCTTAGGGAGGTATTACTTGAGGACTGTCTTGAAAAGAAATTTTGAGTTGCTCTGGGGAATGGAGGAGCTCTAGGCAGAAGGGAATGCACACGCAAAGGCTTGGAGGTGTGGAACAGCATGGCCTGCTCTGGGAGTTGACATAGTACACATGAGTGCTTAGAAGAGCAGAGCTCCGGGTAGCAGGCAGATGAAAGATGTAAGCCCTGTACGCCTAGCCAGTGCTGAAACCTGAGTTCTATGTGGAACAACCTAAGAGATTGCTTTAGTGGTCTGGGCGATGTATGAAGGTCAAAGAAAAGTGCTGGGATCAGTTTGGTGTAGAAGAAATCTCTTGTGTATTCTGTGGGTGCAACACTTGTCAATTTAAACACCTAGGTCATATAGCTAGACTCTTCTCTGACTAGCTCATAGCTTAAAATAATCCACTTATTTTAACCAACATCTGCTACATGGCTGGTTACCTGAGCTCAGGCACCACGCATCCTGTAGTCCTCACATCTTGCCAGCAAGTCTCGCATGCCTGACTCTATCCCAGAATTCCCTCTGCCTGCTAGATGTCTCACCTATTTCCTGTATCAGCATAGGTTTTTTTAATTGATAGATGTTGCATCCTTACAATACACAAGAGACTCCTTCTACACTTTGGACCATTAGGAAATAGCCAACTGCATAAGAACTAACTCTACTGAGAAGTAGTCTAGACCTGTAGAGCTGACTACACAAGTGCCGCTTAACTATCAAGGGAAAAGTGAAATCTCCTCCATCTCATTGCAAAACAAGCCTTTTCTCAGTGGCCACTTCTGCCTGAGCATCTCAGCCCATGCAGCACACTGTGTATCTCCCAGAAGATGGTGCCAAAGAGTAAGCAACTGATTCAGAGTCTGATCAGCATCCCAGGAGTACAGAGTAAGTAGACTAGAGCCCCAGGGTTCAGTCCTGGCACCCAAACCACCACAACAACCATCACACAATGACATGCTTAGGAATAACAAAGACTTAACCCAGTACTTTTCCAGTTTGCATTAGTCTAATGAAACAATTTTCTCAACAGACAAATGGTTTATCAAACCCCTACTGTGTTTCTATACTAAAAATAGGGCTCAATTTTCTCAACTATTTGGAAATGCCAACCTTGAACCATAGAGAATTTTATTAAATATCTTTGATTTATCCTTCGTTCCTCAGGAATTTTTATACCAAGAAATTAACTAAAGGTTTTAAGCAATAGTTTTTTAAAATATTTATCACTGTAACGTCTGTAATTTAGAAACATGGATAAATGAAAACCTTAAAAATCATGTAATTAACACTTTCAGTTCTTAGACAAATACTCTATAACATTTTGTGTTTCAGCTCTAGCTATCACATGTGGAATGAAGATCCAGCAACCAAACAGCTGCTTGCCCGAGACCAGCACCTCTTCCTGGCCTGTCTCCCTCCCTGATCACAGCTCACTTGATCAGGGTCTCTCTCTGCACCAAGAGTGTCTCAGACACCAAGGTCATATTCCCTGCTCTTCCTTCCTGGACCCATCCACTCTGATCACCCAGGCTTGAGACTGCTTGCAGGGATCACCACCTGCTTCTGGCCCCTCTCCCCGCATACCTCATCCCACTCCCACCAGGGACCCCCCCCCCCGGGGCTATCACATATGACCCAGAGTTCCAGAGCCCTGTAAGCTGCCTGGCTGGGACCCTTCAGTTGTCCTATTTGACCTTTAAACCAGCCCCACTCCTGGGAAAACTTGTTTCAAGCTGCTGAAGGCACCAGACTATAGCAGACAAGTTATAAAAGCTGTAAAGGATTGTCTGGGGATAGAGACTAGAGCCCCAAATAGAAGGAGGAACTGACTGTTTGTGGGGATGATGGTACTGATGGAAGAGGGTAGTTACAATGATCAGGACAGAGAAGACACTGACTTTTCTAAAAGTATAGTGGCATACATGCAGGAAAATCTCATCATGAAGTTCATTAGCTTTGGAGTTTAAAATTAAGTAAAAAAGAAATCAGCGAATGCAAAAAAAAGCACAATTGCATAATGCCTGTGGTATTGATACAATAACATTCAACTATTTCTATTTTAATTTTCATTCAAGTTATTTATAGCCTATTGACACAAAATAATATTTCCATCATGTGGAGAAATGGAGAGAAAGAAACAGAGGGCTTTGGTCACAATGGGGATCAGTTGGGGAGAAAGTTGGGGGAATAAAGTCTATTAAGACATTGGGCTTGAACTAGGGAGACAGAGCACCATAGCTCAATGGAACCTCAAGATGGCTGAAGGGCTGGTCACCAAATAAACCCTGAACTCTTTTGTCCCACATGGGGAATGTGAGTCAAAGAGTAACAGGAAAGGGTCCCATTGCAGTTATTCATCCCCCCACTTTCCTCCCACCAACTTCCTGATATCTGCTGACCACCCATCACTTCTTTCCCCACTGGTACTAGCCTTTTCTGCAAGACTTAGTCTTCCTTCCCTCAGTCCTCAGTTCACTTTGTTCCCTTACAGACTTTTCTGCAATGTGGTGGTTTAGTACCGTGACAACCAGCTCCTACACAGGCTGTTTCACATAGATTTAAACTACTTAATCCCTTGCTCCAGACTCACTCCTGAGTGGTCCTAGAATGTAACCAGACAGTGGAGAGCAGGTGGAGAGTGGCACCAGTGTTCTCTTCCCCTCTTTGTAAGAACCTTGTGAGCATCTGACCATAGGATGCACTGATAGGATTCTGCTTCTTTCCCTGGACTGTGAGTTCCCAAGGGCAGTTGTTGATGAGGTCTGGGGGCCTTTAACTTAGGGAACAGGAGTATGTACTGAGTAGGATTCAATTTTATAAAGGGACTGCTCTATGTCCTGGGCACACATTTCACCTGCCCTCTCCATAGGACCTTCTTCAGCTCAAGTAAGTGAGCAATTACCTCTTGTATCCTGGGACTGTTGGGCCCTTCTCTTAGCCCATTCTGCTACTTACAGGATAAGAAACACTATGAGGTTTGAGGCTAGCCATAGTCCTGCCACCGACTGGCTGGAAAGAAAAGAGAAACAGGATCCTGATAACCGCTATGGACAATCTGACCCAACAGCATAAGAAGCACACCGTTGTTTCTGTTCAGCCGGTGCCTATTGCAGTCATCCATCTCTGTTTCCTCATTCCCAGGACATTCCAGAACTCTAACTAGTCCAGAACTGGGCTTTAATATCTGCTCACAGTCTTACTCACTAGGAGCGTACACAATATTTCATGAAAAACTTACAAAAAGGTGTCTTGTCCCTGGTAGAGGATGGTCAGTGAGCAGATGAACAAGAACATTACTCTGCTTCTGCAACTCTAACCTTGACTTTGAAGCTGAAAGAGATGGTTTTGATGCTCCCTAAAGAAGGGTCTACCAAACACTGGGTGTGGCTTGGTGCACTGGCATAGGGCTCAATCTTTTTTTTTTTTTGTATGTTAACCCCCGCTCCAGTTCTGCCTGCTTCTGTATCCTGTTCATGGTCCTCCACTGCTAGACTTTGCAGGTGGGGTTTGGGATGAGAAGAGGGGCAGCAATGGAGAAGAGAAGGGGAGAAGGGACAAATAAATAAGGCTAATGATGTCTGCAGAGGCAATAAGCGCTTTCTGCCCTGCCTTAGTCTTCCTTCCCTCAGTCCTCAGACATCTAGCCATGTGAGATGGGGAGGAAAACAGGGTCGTTATCTTTGTTCCCCTACAGACTTTTGAAAGCAAATATGAGCAGCGCTAAAGCTGAAAAGTCCATGACGAGAAGAATCAGCCTGGTTCATGAATACAGGGATAATGATGCCATGATCAACAAGCCAGGTGTGAAGAAAATGCTGCAGAGCTTCCTCAGCTTCCTCAATGCTGTGAATGAAGGTCTGACATTTCAGTATCAGTTGGGCTCTGCACTGGCCCTCAGAGAAGTCTAGTGTAAGCCTGTGCTGAAAAGGCCAAAGGTGTCATTCTAGGCGACAGAGCTCTCAGCTGTGGTGGGCAGGGCTGGATTTCCAGGGCAAAGCCATAGAGAATCATATTCTTTCCTAAAAAATACATGCATATAATACTGTGTGTGTGTGTGTGTGTGTGTGTGTGTGTGTGTGTGTGTTTAAATGAAGGTATGCTATATGCCACTTTGGGGTGACAATGCCCCCAAAAAGCTATAAGCTATCTAGCAAAAAGCTCCAGTGTCAGACATAGGAGAGGTCCTTATTAGTTGTTGGTCAGAGGAGTCCAAGAGACTCCCACAGCAATATAGACTACTGCCACTCTTCCTCGTTGCCCACCAGAGTTAGAGGTAGGATTTTCCTCAGTTATTTTTAACATGGACGTCCAATAATTTAGTGGTTGGTTTGTTCCCATTTTTCATGTTTTCTCCATCTTCTCTTTTCTTGTACTTTCTATTTTATATTGAATTTTGAACATGTGTAGAGAAGTTTCA